CCTGCTAAGTGCTGGGATCAAAGATTAGCACCCACATGGAGCTAACCAGTCATCTGTAACTCTGTTCCAAGGGATCAAACACCCTTTTCTAGCCTCCTAGGGCAAACAGTCATACACATAAAATAAAAATTAAAAATTAAAAACAATACATAAAACAAACCAAAAAGCAATAAGCCCCCATATCAAAAACAATAAAAACAAAATTGAAGCTCTTTCTAAAGATGGCAAAAAAAAAATCACAGAATCTAGAAGTTATAAAAGTAAATATAGGGGGCTGGAGAGATGGCTTAGCAATTAAGAACACTGATTGCTCTTGCAGAGGACCTGGGTTCAGTTTCCAGCACCCACATGGCAGCTAACAACCACCCATAATACCAGTTCCAGGGAATCTGACACCCTCTTCTAGCCTCCTGAGGCATGGCATACACATGGCATACTTATATACATACAAGCAAAACACTCATACACATTAAAAATATTGCCGGATATGATGATTCATGCTTTTCATCCCAGTACTTGGGACACAGAGGCAGACAGATCTCTGTGAGACGGAGGCCAGCCTGGTAAGCAAGTTCCAGTCCAGCTGGGGCTACGGAGATGGTCTGTCTCAAAAGGACAAAAAAAAAAAATTAAACTGGGTGTGGTGGTACAAGCCTTTAAATTAATCCCAGCACTCAGGAGGCAGAGGCAGGTGGATCTCTGTGAGATCGAGGCCAACGTGGTCTACATAGGGAGTTCTAGGTACATAATGAGATTTTTTTTTCTTTTAATATTTTATTTATTGTTTTTATTTTATGTATATGAGTATATTGCCTGCATGTATATAAGTGCACCTGTATGGTACAATGCCTGTGGAGGTCAGAAGGTACCAGATACCCTGGAACTGGAGTTACTGATGGTTGTTAGTCTCCATGTGGGTGCTGGGAATTGAACCTGGGGCAAGCAGTCCATGCTCTTAATCGCTGAGTCATCTCTCCAGCCCCCATGAGATCCTTTTTCAAACAAACAAACAAACAAATATAAGCAAGTTTGCCTATACAACATATATTACAAATTCCTGTGTGGAAAAGATTCCATAAGCAAAGATAAAACCAAAACCAAATGAAAAAAAAAATTAGCAATCTATACCATAGACAAAGGTCTGTATTCCCACCCAAAGCAGCTGACTTCACCAACTACACAGAAGAGGCAGAGGGGTGAACGGTGAAAGAGATGCGGAGGAGGGAGAGGGGTACGGGGAGTGAGAAGGAGATTATGTTCTCAAGATGGAAAGTGAAAGTACAGGACTTTTCCAACCTAACCTCAGTACTGTTGTTGTTTGGGTGGGAGGTTGAATTGTCAAATTTGTTTTCTTTTGGTGTCATTTATCTTGTTCTTCTTGTTATTTGTTTTTCTTGTGAAATATAAAATTAGTTTTAGCAGTTAGGCTTGGTTGTGCATGCCCATAATCCCAGCATTCAGGAGGCAGGAGGTTCTTGAGTTTGAGGTCATCCTGGACTACATAGTGAGATCCTGTCTTTAAAAACCCAGGACTGGGGATTGGAGGGTTAGGGATGGAGCTCAATGGTAGAGTGTCTTTTTAGCATGCATGAAGCCCTTTGTTTAATCCTCAGCACCACACACACACATACACTAAATTTCTAGGGGTGTGTGTGTGTGTTCTAGCTATAAATGCTGGAGAGATTGAACTCAGGGCTTCATGTTTGCTGGTCAACTACTACTATTGAGTTATACCCTCTCTTTTAGTTTTTTGATTTATGTTTTATTGAGACAGGGTCTCCCTGAAGCCCCACCTAGCCTGGAACTCACTATGTAAACTAGATTGGCCTTGATCTCACAGAGATCTGCCTGTCTCTCTGCCTCCCCAGTGGTAGGATTAAATTTTTTTTAAGTAGGCAAAGAATTTTATTAACTTTTTTCAAACTTTATTCCCAGGCTTCTTCAGCCTAATTTGCTGCAAAGAATAAATTGTGTATAAGTAAAAACTGAAAAGAGCTGCAATGTTCAGGGAGCTGAGAGTTAAAAATATTAGAGATCTATATTTATCAGATCCATAAACAAAATCATAAACAAAAGAATTTTAAAAGGCAGTCATAATATAAAAGAGAAGATCCCAGTAACTTCTTCAAGTTTTATCTTCTTCAGAAGTTGACTCAATTCAGTTGCCTCATTCTTAGAAGCCTCATCAAAATTCTCCACAAGATCTGGAACTTCATCATCATCATCAGAAGCAAGGGGTGCTTTTCCATCTGCAGATTGTTTGGGCAGTTTCAGTCCCAAACTAAAACTAGTCAGACTGTTGGCACGAAGCAGGTTTAGGATGCTGGGAAGCATTTTTGTCAGCAGCTTTGTCTCAGCATGGCCTGTAATGGTGAAAGTGTTTGCTGCCAGAAATGCCTGAACTTTAGGGTTGTTAAAGTGGATCACTGTTCCTTGGTTTGTAAACATATTCACCTTTTCTATACCAGAGATATTGTTTACCCCTAACTTCTTTAAGGAGAACTGAAGTTTTTTATCGTCTGCTGTAGCTGTTCTATGAACCACCTTCATAAACTAATGCCCAGCTAACTAGTTTTTAAGACTTTTATTTACTCACTTATTTTGGGGTGGTGCAGGCCAGCCAGGGCTACACAGTGAGACTCTGTCTCCGAAAAACCAAAAATTAATTAATTAATTAATTAAAATAAATAAATAGTACTTGGAAGGTCAAGGACAATTTCATTAGAGTTAAAAGAAAAGTCCCAGGGGGCTGGGGAGATGGCTCAGCAGTTAAGAGCACTGGCTGCTCTCACAGAGGCCTTAGGTTCAGTTTCCAGCACCCACAAGGCAGCTAACAACTGTCTTTAACTCCAGTTCCAGAGGATCTGGTACCTTCTGAGCTTCCCGGCATTGCATGACACAGGTGCACTTACACACATGCAGGCAATACACTTATATACATAAAATAAAAATAATAAAATATGTTTTTAAAAAAAGTTCTGCTGGGTGTAGTGGCACATGCCTTTAGTCCTAGTTCTGGCACAGGCAGTTAGGGCTGGGGCTATAGGGAAACCCTGTCTCAGAAAAAAAGAAAAAAGAAAAGTTCCAGGGTAGGCAAACTATAAATACTGGCAGCTCCCTGGAGGAGGAAGATGAAGATAAAGAAATAACCCTGACATTTGTAAACAGGAAGTGTGGTGTGTGTGGGGGCGGTGACTTCAGAGGAAAAGAGAGAGAAAGCTCACAGGGTCCAGGACGGCGTGCCCAAGGTATGGCCAGTGTTCCAAAGAAAGAGAGAATGGGAGAAGGAAAAAAAGGAGAGGTTGTGCTTTTCTAAGTTGCAAAAGGCTTAGCACAAATCCGTGGCTGTGTCTCCAACAGCCACTGCAGCAATGGTGGAGTTGCTCCTGGAGAACTTAAAGCAGGCACTTGGCAAAATCTGGCTTAGTTAGATGCGAGAAGACAACTCGTTTTTGTTTGGAGATAGCTTGGAAGTAAGGAGACCAACTAGTTTACTGCTGAAAACTAAACTAGACTCACTGATGACTAGGATGTGTGTAACCATGGAGATGAAGGCGGTTTCAGTCATTTTGAGGGAGCATGTTAAAAATTGCTGATTCGTGGGAGAGTTAGGAAAGGACCCTGCGGGCTTCCCTTAGGCAGAAGCCTTTTCATCAAGTAGCCATCCTCCTCCTAGAGGAGCCTGCATCACTTTCAGCCCTTCTGAGTAGGGAACTGAAGCTCGGTGTTGCCTCATCCATCAGTGACTGGTCCAGTAGAGTATGTGTCTTTCAATGAGACCTGAGGAAAACTCCAGGTTTTTTTTTTTTTTTAGGACTTTTAAGGAAGTTGTGCCACTAATTAAAACACAAAGTACAATACAGCACAATAGAAACCATTCTTCCCAAAATGCTTCAACATAAAACCAATTAAAGGAGCCAGCTGGGAAAATGGTTCATCAGATAAAGATGCCCTGACCCGATCTAAGTTCCATCCCCAGACCTCACAAGGTAGAATGAGAGAACCCCTTACTTGTCCTGGTTGTATTGTTGAATACAGGATTCACAACTGAGTGAAACTGCTGATGACAGTTCTCCCCCAGGAGCCTGCACAGCACCTTCTGGCACTATGAGGGCTAGCCAGGAGGGAAGAAGCTTCCAGTCTGTGTTGAAATTTTAAAAATATTTTAAAATTTATTTATTTTTCCAATTTCATGCATATATACAATGTATTTATTTTTTTTAAAGAGAGATTGGGGACTGGAGAGATGGCTCTGCCGCTTAGAGCACTGGCTGCTCTTGCAGAGGACCTGGGTTTGGGTCCCAGCACCCATATGTCTGCTAACAGTGTCAGTAACTCCAGTGCCAGGGGATCTGACACCTTCTTCTGACCTCCGCGGGCATTGCACGACACGGGTGCCCTTACACACATGCAGGCAATACACTCATACAAAGAAAATAAAAATAAAATGTTAAAAAATGAGTTTAAAATCACATTTTAAACAATTATTTTTTGATTATTATGTGTATGAGCGTTTTATGTGCATGTATGTAAATGCCTCTCGTAATGTGTGTGGATGTCTGGTGTGGGTGGATGGTGGGCATTCAGGTGGCAAACTTCTGGCACAGGCAGTTACACGTCAAGAGCGCTCCTGCTGAGAAAATGGGGGATTTGGGTCTTTGGCGAGGCAGGATGTAACTTCTCCCCTTCTTTGAGAAGCAGGCACTCATCGCTGTTGGCGCGCTGGGGTCGTCTGTGGGCGGACTTGGGAAAGAGCAGTCCCGGAAGCCAGGTGGAACCGAGGCTGAAGTAGCAGGGCGGGTAGAGCCAAGGACCACAGCGACACCTGGCTCTGGCACCAGCGGCTTACCAGCGGAGGGGCGTGACCGAGAGTCGGGGGCGTGGTCTCGAACCAGAGGCGTGGCCTCCGGATCGGAGGGCACACGGCGCCGGTGTCATGGCGTCTTCCATGCTGGGCTCGGCCTACGGCTGGTGGCGGCCCGGAGTCGTGGGCCTATGTCACCGCCGGCCGCCTCGGGGTCTGTGGGCGCGCGCGCGGCGGCTCCCGGGGACCACGGCGGCCCGGCGCAGTGTGGCAGTGGCCAGCGGGCCGGGGGCCCCGGGCTCCGCCCACTACTGTCTGGAGCTGCTGCGGTGAGGCTCCGGGCTGCCCCGGGTTGTCGCGGAGGGCCTGTGGGGCGGGCGGGGAGGCTTGGGCTGCGAGCTGGGCTCCGGGCTCTGCTGGGCTCTGAATCCGGGTACCGGGAGGGAGGGAGGCTGCTGTCCAGTTCACGTGGCTACGAAGTCCTGGCAAGATTTCCTTGTCTGCTCAAAGCATTTCTGTCACCTTGCCTGACTCTTAATTTTAAGTGACCCTGGAACCTTTGCAAACATAGCATGTTGTATTCGTAGAACAACTAGTAATTAATTTTAACATCATTAACTAACTTTGGGTTCAGCACTATTAAAAGTAGTTTATAGGGGGCTGGAGCGATGCCTCGGCGGTTAAGAGCAGTGGCTGCTCATACAGAGGACCTGGATTCGGTTCCCCGCACTCCGTGCCAGCTAAAACTCCAATTCCAGGGAATCCGATGCCCTCTTCTGGCCTCCACGTGGCATTGAATGCCCGGTGCGCTTATATGCAGGCAATACACGTACACATAAAATAAGTGAATAAAAAACTTTTAGTTTACAGACGCTGGAGATGTAGTTAGGGAGAGTGATTGCCTAGTATACATGAGGCCCTAGGTTAGATGTCTAGTATCTACAAAAACCTGGCACAGGTCTGTAATTCTGGCACTTGGGAGGCAGAGGCAGGAGGATCAGAAACTCAAGGTTATCCTTGGCCACAGACCAGCCATAGCTTCTTGACACTGTTATTGAAAAGAAACCAAAACAAAACAGTTTACAGCCAGCTGTGGTGGTGCACACCTTTAATCCCAGCTCTTAGGATGGAGAGGCAAATAGGAGATGGAGGCCAAACCTGGTCTACATAGTGAGTTCCAGGCCAACTGGAGCTACAGGGAGACCCTGTCTCAAAAGTTCACAAGTAATTATTTAACACTCCTTACAAATTGCAAATGACAAATGTAGACTGACCATCTAGGATTGTGAGAATCAAAGTGTTTAGAATAGTGCCAGGCACATGGGTTATTATTATCTTTCAGTATATGGACTCATTTCACATTAGGATCAAGGCAGAAAGGAATTTGCCTGAAATTTACCAGAAGAGCTTCATGAAGTCAGGGGCTTGTGCTTTGTTCACCTCCAGAGTTTCTCCTTAGTTGGTCCTGCCTTGGAATTGAGGCCTATGAACAACTATAGCTTAACAGTACCCACCCACCCCAACCCTGCAGTCTTCCCTTCCTTGATAATAGTAGTATCTGGGTTTTTTAATTTATTTTATTTTATGTGTCTGAGTGTATTGTGTAAGTGCACTGTTTTGTGCAGTGCCCATAGAGGTCAGAAGAGGGCATTGTATTCCCTGGAACTGGAGTTACAGATGGTTGTTAGCTGCCATGTGAGTGCTGGGAATCGAACCCAGGTCCTCTGCAAGAGCAGTCAGTGCTCTTAACCACTGAGCCATCTCTCTAGCCCTAGTATGTGGTTTTTAAATACCTGGTTTTAAGTGCTTCTGAAAGATACTAGGATAACTAAATTACCTTGGATTTGATTGGGCAAGTAAATAAAAAACAGTAGATGTACTTCAGTGTTCCTCTGTTATTTGGGATTTTTCCCTCCCTCTCCCTCTTTCCTCCCTTCCTTTCCCATCCCTCTCTTCCTTCATGGTCTTCTATGTAGACCAGGCTGGCCTTGCACTCGCAGAGATCCACCTGCCTCTGCCTCTCTGTGCAGGGATTAAAGGTGTGTGCTCTACTAAGCCCAGCTCTTTCATCTTTTTTTTGTTTTGTTTTATTTTAATGAGACAGGGTCTTGCTATTAGCCCAGGTCTGCTTGGACCTTGAGACTTTACTGCTGCAGCCTCCCAGGTTCTGGGATTACAGGCATTGGCCATCGCTCTCCCATGTTTGTTTGTGGTGGTTGTGTTTTCTTCATGGTTCTGGAGATTGAACTCAGGACCTGGTGATACTAGGCAGGCTCTCACCAGTCAGGTATACCTACCATTATTTTTAAAAGACTGATTCCTAGTATGTTTCACAGGATGGCTTTGAACACTTGGGTCCAACCAGCCGTCTGCTGAAGCCTCCTGAGTATACTTTATTTAGCTCATCATTCTTTGGATGCTTAAATTTCCATAGACTCTGTTAAGCCTTTTTCTGGTATTCTTTTGACAAGCCTCTTCCAATCTCTGAACATATTCTTACCTTATTCTCAAAGTGTCTCGGACTTGTTTTGGATCTTCCCTGCCCCGGCTTGGGGCAATCATTCTTCCAAGAAGCCCTAGGAGGTCTTAGGAACTAGTATCTGGGTTCTTGGTATTATTCATTGATGCTGGGAGTATAGAGGGTATGTGTACTTCTTGAAGCCTCTTTCAGCAAATGCTAGAACATACACACACATATACATACACTACATTGGTTTCTATGTCTTAATTTCTCTCTCTCTCTCTCTCTCTCTCTCTCTCTCTCTCTCTCTCTCTGATCTTTACATTTCCTGTGTGTGTGTGTGTGTGTGGTAATTTGCTTAAACTATTTTCTTCAACCTCCCCCCTCCTCCCTTTGTTGGTGGTATGTAGACAGTCTCATGTAGCCTAGGCTACAAACTCCTGGTCCTTTTGTCTCCACCCCTGAAATGCTAGGATCACAAGCATGTACCAACATGCCCAGCTTTGAGTTCATCTTTTGCAGTCCATTTGAATAGAAACAAAGTATTCTGAAGCAATTAAAATTATAAATGCTATATAGATTAAAATAAATTTGTTTTTTGTCATGTTTGGGGTAAGGGACAAACACATTTTTCATAATTGTAGAGAAATAGGTTTATTTCAAAGGTTTATTTATTCCTTATGTGTATGTATGTGTGCCTGCAAGAGTTTATATGCGCCATTTGTGTGCAGGTGGCCAAGGAGGCCAGAGGGTGTCAGATCTCCTGGAACTAAAGTTAAAGGCAGTCATGAGTTACCTAATGCAAGTGCTGGGAGCTGAACCCAGGTCCTCTGCAGGAGCAACAAAAGCTCTTAACCACTGAGCCATCTCTCCAGCCCCAGATAAGTATAAAATTTAAGAAATATCAGGCCTACTGTGAACCAAAGCCTCATTATTTTCAGTTGATTTTGGTCAATATTTTGTGTGTAGTTTGTTTAGAGACAGGTCTCACTATTTAGCCCTGGCAGATCTAGAACTCTTTATATAAACCATGCAGAACTCACAGAGATCCACCTGCCTCTGCCTCCGCCTCCCAAGTGTTGGGACTAAAGCCATGCCTGCTTTTTGGGTGTAGTTTGGAAAGTAAAGACTTACTACCATTTTTCTTTTGTTTCTATTTGTTGCAGGAAACGAGATTATGAAAGTTATTTATGCTCCCTACTGCTCCCTGCAGAATGCCGAAGCTCTGTTTTTGCACTGAGGGCCTTCAATGTGGAACTGGCTCAGGCTGGTATTGAAAAACCTTAAAGTATTATTACAAGATGGGGATACAATGTGTTTAATACTGAACAGTAAAGACAGGGCTGTAATTTATGTTAGACAGATGTGCTTAAAGTCTCTATTAGTGAGTTAAGCGTGGTGGCACACACCTTTAATCCCAGCACTCAGGAGGCAGAGGCTGGCAATCTCTGTGAGATCAAGGCCAGCCTGGTCTACATAAAGAGTTCCAGGCCGGCTCGGGCTACAGTGAGGGAGACCCCTGTTTGTTTGTTTTTTAAAGTCTCTGTTAGTCATTTCTTTCTCCTGCTAACAATTTAGGCTTAAATTCAATACCCAAAATAAAGCTAGCTGTTGAATTTAATGTTTCTGGAAATGATATTCTAGACTTTTATATTTCTTTTTCTGAGTGTATTACAAAATTTGCAATTATCATTGCACATTTGTTTGTTAATTAAATAAGCTAATGAGAATCTGACTACTTTTTCTAAAAGTTGCATACTTTGTGTATAGCCCAAGCTCTTTTAAGTTGATTTTTTTTTTTTTTTTTTTGGTCTTTTTGAGACAGGGTCTCCCTGTAGCCCCAGCTGTCCTAGAACTCACTGTGTAGACCAGGCTGGCCTTGAACTCACAGAGATCTGCCTGCCTCTGCCTCCCGAGTGCTGGTATTAAAGGTGTGCGCCACCCACGCCCAGCCTAAGTTGAAATTAAAAAAAAAAATTATTATTATTTATTTATGTGTATGTGTGTATTGCCTGCATGTAGGTAAGTGCACCTGTGTTGTGCAATGCCCGCGGAGGACAGAAGAGGCTGTCGGATCCCCTGGAACTGGAGTTACAGACAGTTGTTAGCTGCCACATGGGTGCTGGGAACCTGGGTCTTCTGTAAGAACAACCAGTGTTCTTAACCACTGAGCCTTCTCTCCAGCCCCTTAAGTTGAAATTTTAAAATCATCGTGAAGTAAGGAATGGACTCAATTCTGGCAGACCCTAGATTCTGCCAGACTGTAGAGCAGAAGGAATTCTGGAAAACCTAGATCCGGACTCACATTTGTCTCAGAATTACAAAAGGAGACAACTGAAATGTGTAGAAATGAAGTTTAGGTAGAATGGCCTTGGTCTTCACAGAAAATCAGAGGTCAGATAATGGGGAGGGCTTAGTGTCTTGAAGAGAGTGGCAGGTCTGACGCAGCTTCTTTACAGAAGTAGACATGAAGGAGAAATGAGTGGAAGGGTGTAAATGTGGTGCTGAAGCACAGCTGAGACACAGCCATGACTTCAGTCTACTAGGCCAGCTTTTTTTCCCTTCTAGTGTGTTCCTAGAAGTCATGGGTCATGATCCCCACCTCCTCTGCCATCAGGTATGAACTACATGACAGCATGTTAAGTCATCATAATTTAGCTATTAACACTGTGGTCTTTTATTATAATTTTTAAATGACCGAAATTCTGTTCTTAATAATTAAATCCCCGGAGTTGCCCTTGAACTCTATCACTTGTTAAGAGTATATTACTACTACTTGGCACATATGGTCTTGTTCATCTACCCATTCAACAACTATTGTTGTCTAAGATAAGCAAGACACTGTTTTAGGCTTTGTGGGTAGCAGTGAATGAAACATGCAGTCTCTGTGCTCAGCTCGTAAATGATTGTAATGGATCAGATCAGACACAGGCTCTAGAAAAAACAAAGCAGGTGAAGGGGGCTGGGGAGGTTGAGTACAGTAGGGGCTCCTATTATTTAGGGTGGTCAAGAGAAATCTGATCGAGAAGATAGCATTGGAGCAAAGAGTCAAAAGAGGTTAAGGAGCAAACTGTGCAGATAATGTGGGTAAAGAGAATTCTAGGGAGGAAAAAATAGCAAGGGCAAAGGTTCTGAGGTGTCAGTGTCTGCTACATTCAAAGAACAGAAGCCCAGTATAGAACAGAAGCCCAGTATGGAACAGTGGTGGTGAGTGTGTGTTGGGGGAGGTGGAGATGAGGTTAGAGGCATCTGAAAGGTAAGGTTTTGGAGACCATACTGCCACCTCAACCTTTACCATGGGTGAAATGGACAGACATTGGAGGTCCTGAGCAGATTCATCATTTCTTGCTCATGTTTAAAAAGGTCATCCTTGGGGGCTAGAGCTGTAGCTCAGTGGTGGGGCCCTTGCCTAGCATGTACAGGCTTTGGGTTCAATCCCCAGCACACCCACCAAAAAAAAAAGTAGGAATAAAAAGATCAGCCTTGAGCCAGGCATGGTGGCTCACCCCTATATAATCTTGGCACTGGGGAGGCAAAGGTAGGAGGATCACTGCAAGTTTGAGGCCAGCCTGGTCTAATAGCAAGTTCCAGGCCAGCCTGGGCTACATGATAAGACTCTGTTTCAAGATCACCCTTGCTGCTGTATTGCTGTACTATATGCCATTGGAACCCAGAAGTTTGCTAAGAGTTCTACCCTCCACAGATTCACAGGAGTTCAAGGAGCAGTTCCTAGAGAAACTTTTTATTTGGAAGTAGTTTTACAAACAGAAAAATAAGTATAGTATAAAGAATACCCGTATTCCTTTTTGTTAATATTTTGCTCAATTTGCCTTATTAGTACATTTGTATATATGTACACAAACACCTTGAGTACACCATAGTCTTTATTCATATAAACTTGAGTATATTTTTATAAGAATAAGGATATTCTTGGGGCTGGAGAGATGGCTCAACAGTTAAGAACACTTACTGTTCTTCTGGAGGACCTGGGTTCAATTCCCAGCACCCACATAGTGGCTAACAACCATCCATAACTCCAGTTTCAGGGGATCTGACACCCTCTTCTGGCCTCTGTGGGCACTGCATGCACTTGGTACACTTATATACATGCAGGCAAAACACTCAGACATATAAAATATAAATAATAAGACATTTTAATTTAAAAAAGAATAAGGACTTTCTCTTACATAAGCACAGAACAGTTAGGAATGCACAGATTTAGCACTGCTACATAGTACTTTCCTTTGATGGACCATCTAGTTTCCAGTCTCAGCAGCTGATCTAGCAATGTCCTTTACGGCATTTCTTTTTCCTTCCATATAGGATCCAGCCCAGACTGGCTATTATGTTGTTTTGTGTTCTTAGCGCCTGTTACTTCACTTTCATTGGTTTTTCAGTGCTGGATCCAAGGCTTTGCATGTGCTCTGCACTGAGCCACAGTCACAGTCCTTCAGGCTTCTTCTAAAGTATTTTCATAACACTTTTTGTGTTTTTGAGACAGGGTCTCCCTGTAGCCTTAGCTGGCCTGGCACTTGCTATGTAGTCCAGGATAGCCTCCATTTCACAGAGATTCCTGCCTCTGCTTCTTAAGTGCTGGGATTAAAGATATGTGCCACCACTCCTGGCCAGCTCTTAGCTTTTTGAGATAGGGTCTTCCTATGTAATTCAGGCTGGATTTGAGGTAGCCCAGGCTGACCTCAAACTCCCCATCCTCCAGCCCCTAACTTCTGAGTGCTAGGATTATAGGTGTGTGCTACCTTGTCTGTTCCAGAAAACCATTCTTTTTGCTTAGTATTTTTTTGGTCTTTTTGAGACAGGGTCTCCCTGTAGCCCCAGCTGTCCTGGTACTCACTATGTAGACCAGACTGGCCTTGAACTCACAGAGATCCGCCTGCCTCTGCCTCCCAAGTGCTGGGATTAAAGGTGTGTGCCACCACACCCACCTTTATTAGTATTTTTAATTTTTACATGTGTGAGTGTATTGCCTGCATGTGTGTAAGTGCACCAGCATCATGCAATGCCTGTAGAGGTCAGAAGAGGGCGTCGAATCCCCTGAGACTAGAGTTATAGACAGTTGTTAGCCACCATGTGGGTGCTGGGAATTGAACTCTGGTCCTCTGCAAGAGCAGCCACTGCTCTTAACTGCTGAGCCATCTCTCCAGCCCCATGTGTGAGTGTTTTGCCTACATGTAAGTGTACCATGAACATTCAAGGGAGGCCAGAGGGGGTGTCAGATTTCCTGGAACTGGAGTCATAGACAGTTGTTCCCTGCCATGTGTGTGCTGGGAACTGAACCTGGGTCTCTGGAAGAATAGTTAGTGGTCTTAACCACTGAGCTATCACTCTAGCCCCCAGATAGTTAAATAATCTTTTACAAAATTGCTTGGGGACTGGGAAGATGGCTTAGTAAACTGTTTGCCTTGTAAGCAGGACCTGAGTTTGGATCCCCAGCACCTGCATAAAAAGTAGAGTGGCGGCTTGCATCTAACCTAGTGTCATGAGGGGCAGGTAGAAACAGGCAGATTGCTAGAGGCCACTGACCAGCCAGTCTTGCTAAATTAGTGCTCCAGGTTCAGTGAGAGACTGGTTTCAGAAAATGAGGAGAGTAAGACACCAGACATCAACCTTTGGCCTCTATACATATGTGCACAGGCATGCATACTGCACATACACATATATGTACACACACCACAGCACAAATTATTAAAAACATGAATTAGCTTAATTAAATGTTTAGTCCAGGCTCCTTCTGCCCCTGCTGCCAAGTGTATTGCACCTCCTGGCTGTTCATGTTGCCTGGGGCCTGGACTACCACCCTGTGTCCCAGTCTATGCTATTCTTCCTTATCCTGAAACCCACCTGCCTGGAAAGTTTTCCTGCCACCAGCAGCTTCTCAGTGACACAGTGGCAGCTGCACCGTGCAGTACTCATATCTTTAAGTATGTTATTATTAGGAATATGAAGGTAGGGAAGTCCTGCTTGGTTCATGAATTTTTCAAAAACTTTACTTAATTTCATATATATATATATATTTTTTGGTCTTTTTGAGGCAGGGTCTCCCTGTAGCCCCAGCTGCCCTGGAACTCACTATGTAGACCAGGCTGGCCTTGAACTCACAGAGATCCACCTGCCTCTACCTCCAGAGTGCTGGGATTAAAGGGGTGCGCCACCACGCCCGGCTTAAAATTTTTTATTTATGTGTTTGTGTATGCTGTGTGTGTCTGCAGAAAGAAGAAGGGGTTGGATCTTGTGGAACTGGAGTTACAGAAAAGGTTGTAAGCTGCCTGATGTGGGTGCACAAACAATTAATCTTCAGATTTGGGATACCATAGTACAGGAGTGGTTTGGAGCTGTTTCTTGGAGCTATGGCAGCTGGGTATTCTTACAGTATTTATCACTTGAAGTACATCAAATCACTTAAGCAGCTGGTTAGTAGATAGAATCTCAACAATCCAAATACTCACAGGAAAAGGGGGCAGATTTGGAGGCACAGATAGGTTAGAAACGAAGAAGCCAATTTGCTGAAGAAAATGGCTTGTTTTTGAACTTGCTGCACAAGCCTGACAACTTGAATTTAATCTCTGGAACCCACATAAAGGTGGAAGGAGAGAACTGACAAAGTTGTCCTCTGACTTTTGCACATGTGCTGTGGCACCCATACATACACTGCATGCATGTGTGTGCACTCACACATAATAATACATTGTTAAAAACTCTTCTAAAGCCAGTTTTAACGTAATACTAAACTGCTAAATAACTACGTGTAACCAGACAATCAAAGGCAAGTAATCACTCCCACCTGGTAAATCTAGCCTTGTCCCTCTGCTATTTTGGTTGATGTGTCACCAGTATGTAATTTAAAGCCAGCACTGCTGCTGGACTTTGTTTTTGCCTTCCTTTTTGGCAAGACTTTCTCACTCTACACCCTAGTCTCTCCAGCCTTTCCACACGTGAAGTTTTCAAGGATGTCTGTTGTAATCAGTAAGTTCATTGCTGTGCAGTGACTTCTCTTTTTTTTTTTAAATTTTATTTTGTGTATGAGTATTATGCCTGTATGTAAGTACACCTGTGTGTACAGTACCCGTGGAGGTCAGAAGAGGGCATATCCCTTGGAACTGGAGTTATGGACGGTTGTTAGTTGCTATGTGGGTGCTAAGATTTAAACCCAGGTCCTCTGTAAGAGCAGCCAGTGCTCTCAACCTCTGAGCCATCTCTCCAGCCCATGTACAGTGACTTCTGATGATAGAGAAGGCTCTGTAGCTGTTTTTATTTTGTTTTTTGATAAATTCTCTGTTGTAGGGTGTGACATTTTCCTCCATGAGGTTTGCTCCTGTCTTAGTCTTGCACAGTGAAAATGTCCATTTATCTTTTCCTCTTGTGCTTAATTAATAGGTTTATTGTTTATTTATATATTATTTATTTTTTAGACGGGATCTGATGTTGGAGACTGGCCTTAGACTTGCTGTGTAGCTGAGGATGGCCTAAACTCCTGCCCTTACCTCCTCAGTGCTATTAGCACTATTAGTCTGCTATTAGCACTATTAGTCTGCTTTATGTGATTCTGGGAATCGAACTCGGCTTGTTACATGCTAAGCAGGTACTTTATCAACTGAGGGACATACCCAGCCCCTTACCTTTTTTTTTTCGAAGCACCATTTTATCCTTTTCTCATTAATAGAAAGTAAATAGGTATAAAATTTGGAGGAGCTGAACTACTAATGCATTGATATAATTAATTTGATTACACAGGGTCTTACTCTGTCCCAGGCTTGCCTGGAACTCACCACATGCCTAGGGTGGCTTCAATCTCATGGCAGTTGTTTTCCCTCAACCTCCTAAATGCTAGAATTATGGACATGACTCACCACACCAGCTTGTGTATTATTTTAATGAAAAAGATAAATTAATTAGTGTCATTGGGGAAAGATGTACATAGAATCAATTTCATACTTTGTGGTGTACAGTTCTGTTGGCTCTGAAAAATATGGAGAGTCATGTATTGGCCACCATAGTAAAGATGTAGAATAGTCCATTAGTTCAGAGGTCCCCTCAAAATACTGGTTTTTGATACTCTAAGTGGTATGTTAAAAAAAATTTCTTTTTTCAGTACTGAGCTTTGAACCTAGGGCTTCCATGCATAGCTAGGTAAGCACTCTATCTCTGAGCTATATCTCCAGCCTGTAGTTTAAAAACTCTATTTACAGGTTAAGGACTCAGTCTCTGAGAAAACAATTGGACTGATGCGAATGCAGTTCTGGAAAAAAGCTGTGGAAGATATATACTGTGATAACCCACCACAACAGCCTGTGGCCATTGAACTCTGGAAGGTAAAAAACCAAGTAACAAAATCCCTCAAATACACACATTCGTATATATGTATACTCACATATATATGTGTGTATACTACTTTTAATTTGTAAGAATATTATTTGAGCCTTTTTTAAAAAAGATTTTATTGGGGCTGGAGAGATGGCTCAGCGGTTAAGAACACTGGTTGTTCTTGCAGAAGACCCGGGTTTGAATCCCAGCACTCACATGGCAGCTAACAACTGTCTATAACTCCAGTCCCAGGGGATCTGACAACCTCTTCTGACCTTGCATGACACGGGTGCACTTACTTACATGCAGGCAATACACGCATACACATAAAA